TGGGGGAAGGTACAATCAATGTCTTTCAACTCTCTAGCAATCGTGACAGAAATTATACATGTTATACACAGAAAACCTATGCATGAAATGGGATCTAGAGCATTTAGCAAACTTAGTAGTTGCACTGCATATACAGATGCACTTATAGTTCTTATTTTTGTGATACAGTAGGGCAACACTCCCCAAATTCCTGGACTAGCCAAAAAACTCCAACCGCGCTCCATCTTCAGCTTAGGGCAACAGCTAATGGAGTGGCCCAGAATGAGTACCGTGTATGAGGCATGGACAGGAACAGGAGCACATGTTGATACCTCAGAGGGCCAGTGAGTGGGGGAACAGGAGCATGGGAGTAGATCACAATCACCACAGCAATCTGACAGACTCGAATCTCCTTTACCTCCCTGCTGGGTTTTCCTGAGACTATGGATCTAATTCAAAGTGATGGAAAGAAGCTACTACTCAATATTCACTTCCATATGAAATGTACTCAAAAGTATGGAGATAGGCAGTATGATGATGGTTCTGTCACCCTCCTTGCTTACTTGGCATGCACAGATGCTGGAGAAATCTGTTCCATAAAACGTGTGAAGTAATCTGTTCTCACACCAAAGCAAGAGGATATATAAGAAAATTTGACAGTCTGGATTACAGGTTTTGTGTGATGTGCTCCTGTGCTCCGTAAGGTACAGCAGCTGCACGCTGCTCTCTACCCTGCAGAGGCAGTACTGCATAGCCCAATGCATGGGTGCCAGAATGTGACCTACTCTTGTACCACAAAAGCAGATCTTCAGCTTGCTTCAGCTCCATATTACAAGAGAAATACAGATATTCCAGAATATCACAATCCTAAAAGGGATAGAAGATCTCCCACCATGCACCAAGGACCCTCACCTGCCTTTGAAAGGGAAGACAATGAGCACATTGTCTGCACCACCTAGAACTTTCCAGGTTTTGACATTAGAGTAACAGTAATTTACTTGTGTAGAGGAACAAAGGGGAGAAGACAAAGGGGAAAAGGAAAAGATGAATGGGGAAAGGGGAGCATGTCTCATACTTAACCTCATTCCCCAATACGCTGACATATTATGTCCTTCACAATATACAACATATTCTTTCTGATATGCTACAGATATGACATTTATAATTAATATATCTTTACTTTTATTGCTTTATAAATGGAATATGTATGGAAAACCTATTTAAGTGATTCTCTGGTTCACCTGTACAAGAAAATAGATCAATTTTATAAATGACATCTGTTTTCTGTTAGAATTTCCACCACTACAAAAAGGAAATATTGTTATTTTATACCTGTATCCATTTAGACAGTCTTCTAGTCATGTTATCAGTCTCTAAACTTAACTATTGCAAAAGCATTCCAAGTTACACTTTTCATGCAGTATTGAAAAAGTAGCCAGAATGCAGTAATGAAGCAAAGAGCACCAACATACAAAGAACATTGACTTTTTTAAAAATTATATTAAAGGAAAAATAAATCAGTGAAAAACCACAGAAACGGGAAACAGACAAAGCAAATAATAACAAAATAATAATTGCAATAACACTCAGATACTCCCCTGAAAGAACAATGTGGATCAAAAATGCCATAAACTGCACAGAATACAGATAAATTATTTCTATACCTTAGTAAGTTATAACAGAAAATAATTTACTGTAGCTGCACATAATTTGGTCAATTAAATATGTATTTGGGCAGAATAATTATAAATGGAAAGATTTCCTAGCTATGTAAGATGTTTTACTTCATAAGAAATCCTATTAACCAGCTCTGGAGTGTCACCTCTACAGAAGAAAACAGGTACACAGTCCAATGCCAATACAGAGGAAAACATGGAAGACTGGACAGATGGAGATAGACATCCCTGAATAATAGAGAGGCGTCACTGCAGCTAAACTGGCTAAAAACATATCAAACACAAAAAAATACATTCCAAAACACTAGTGATACAAATATCCTTGAAGGATCTGTAGCACTGTCTGAATAAGGACGTGTATATCCAAGCATATATTCAAATACTTCAGACCTCCACTCTTAACTGTAGGTATCTCCACTTCTGCCCACAACTTTTGCATTTCACAGTCTATTACACACAGCTGCCCTAACAACAGCCTATCACAACTACATGGTACGTCCAAAATTACAGAAAACAATTCCAAAATCTTACCTATCATCTGTTCCCTCAGATTCAGCACACCTGTCTGAATTCAACTACCATTGCCCAGAATGTCAGCTGACCCACCACTTCCACAAAGAGCAGCATCCTGTCCTCTCATCTACTGCCAGGGCTCTGCAGTTATTCGCCTGCCTAGGCACTCACCATAAAGAGCACATTCCCAATTACATTTGGAATTTGGTAGTTCCTTCCATTTCCATCTTAGTCAGCGATTTGGAATGAATGAGTGTTCCATCAACTCTTCCATCAGAAAAGAGCTGATTAAAAACATGGAAAATCAAAATACTGAGGCTTGTCCATTTTGTAGTGTTTAAAGTAAAATACTTTTTGGAACTTAAAGAGATTACTAAAATTTATTTTTTCCCTATTACTTCATCTCTGCTAAAGGTCCAAAATTAGAAAATCTCATAGTCCGTTCTAATTTTTCAAAACATCTCCAGCCTTACAAAGAGTTGTTTTTTTCACTAACTCTTCCAAAGTTTCAAAACTTTTTAAAGTTATAAAATGAGAAACCAAAATTTTTAAAAGCGAAGGAAAAACTATTCATTGCACTACCTTCAAGACACATAAACCCCCAAATTCGAAAAGTCAAAAAAAATGTGATTTTTCAAAACTAACTTAAAATATCAGATCACAAGAAAACTACAGATATTTACTGTTTTGAAAAAACTGTTCCTGTAGAATAGTTCAAATCTCTTAAAGTCATCCTTTTCTAAAAGTATATTTTAGTCTACGCATTTCAATGTGCCCAGCTAGGCGCCATGTTGCTATCTAGCCACACCACCTTCAGCCATTGTGACAGCCACCCTTCCTCACAAAGCAAAAGTTTTAGTACTAGCCTCCCAAAGCCTTTAGCCAACAACAGTAGGAGCTGGGTTGTGCCATTAACATGATTAACACGAAACAGTTATTTACAACTTTCTTTAGCTGGTGAGGTAAGATAAGTATCCAAATTTCCAAACTGCTAATATTAAGTGTCTACATTGAGACAATGGGACTTTAATTTAGGGAGTTACTGAGAATTGCTGACTGCGGTGTCAGTCAACCAGATATTCTCAGATATCAGCTGCTCTGAGGGAAATGAGGATATTGTGTACTAGGGAGTATTGTATATAACTGCAGAAAGTACCTAAGGGAGTACAAAGAGGACAACTGTAGGAGAGATCTCTAAATGTCTCCTAAGGTTATTCGATTTCCTTAGATGGAAAGAAATGCTATAAAGTTATTAATAAAGGCATTTTTATCTTGAAATAAGAAAAAAATAATTAAAAATAAGAATGATGTCTCCTTGAGTTAAATACTGAATTTGTATGCCATTCTGAGACGTAAAACCTTGTGAATTCTGTTATTGTCAGTAGAGTATACCTCCAAATCTCCTGAAACTATTCTTACGGATCTCAAACTGCAGTATCATATGCAACCACAAAATCAGCAGACTTTACTAATAAATCCTCATCTTAAACTCCTGAAGATTTTGCTTCTGAAACTGAGAAAGCAAGGAGATGGTTCCTATTTGGACCATCATTCCGCAGTGTCTGTGCGCTGGATGTCTGAGCAGCTAACTCTGGATCTTGAATTTCATGCTGGGAGCTAGAATCCAAAACTTTTTGTCAGCCTAATCTTTTATGAGATTTAGCCAAAAGAGATTTTTTCTCCCCTATTTCCACTATCAATACCTTTTGCTGTTTTGCAAAATTAAATTGGTTTTTAGAAACCTCAGTCTGTGTATTTTGACAGTTCATGTTCATGTTCCTTTGTCACTGTATTTTGTGCAAAGCATTCTGTACTCTACAGTCAGGATTTCTAGCTTTCCATTTATCCAAAGGATTCTTTCAAAGAAGTACAATGGTTACAGAAAATTAAAAATTATATATTGTTGATGGCTGGTCTGATGAGCAAATCAAATAATGTTCATGCATTGCAAAATGGAGCCAACATGGCTGCTCAACAGACAGAAAAATATTTCTTCCTCTCCTCTATCCATTTCTGTGAGACCTATAAACAGTCTGCTTAGGTTTTATGCATGTTTTTATGTTGCACTCATTATCTTAACATAAACAACTTAGAAGAAATACGAATGTGACATTTTCAAAGTTGTTTAACATCAGTTTTACACTACTTCCATTCTATTTTCCTCTCCTTTTCAATGTGTACCAGGCCAAAACCGAGCACTTTTGAAAAATCACACTTTGGAGTTGCAAATGACACAGAAAAGCATACAAAACTCAAGTTCTTCAGTCCAATACAAAAAAATCACCCCTTTAAAGAAAATATTCATGTCATGAACTTTGTTCTCAATGAGAGTGAAGAACAAAAGTTAGTAACACTGGTACAAAGAATGCAGCGTCAGTAAACAATCAGAGCGATATCTGGGGAAAGGTATATACGAAAGCTACTGCATCAGAAACAAGTAATGTTAACGGCTAAGCACACAGGTAATAAAATCTACCAACTGTACACGTAAGTGTTACAGTTGAAAAAGTGTTTATGCTCAACAGCACAAACATCACTGGAGGCCAAGATTAGGTTTCTGAAAACTTGAATCTACCAGTCAAGCTTACTAGATAAATATGCATATATTTTATATATGTTGAACATATATATTTATATAAAATTTCAAAAAAGCTAATAAAAAGGAATGTTCTTATGAAACTATGGCCCTGGTTAAACCGAGATATATAGCATTAAACAAAAAATGTAGCTAGTTTAACAAGAAATTTCTGTTAGAGGTAGCTTGCACACTGCAATGAGAGTTGCATATGCTGCAAAAAGCACAATATTAATATCAATGAAATGTTTACATACTGAAAGTTGTCCAGACAAGAACTGTGGAACATCCCTTAACATGCCAGGACTCATAGGAGAAGTCACTGAAATAGAAGGTCGGTCCATTTTTTGAGATTCAAAAGAACTAGAACCTGTAATAATAAATAAAAATATTTTATTAATAGTAGCACTTATGCATTTTTTACAATGTTCTTTAAAGAAAAATATTACAAATATAACCAAACATACAATAAAGTTGTGATAAATATCACTTTTTAATCTATTTAAAACTACTAAATAATGATACTCAATCTTTTGGCACTCTGATGCAGTCAAAAGCCTTCCAAGTTTATTATAGCTGAAAAATGTAATCTGAAGCATACAGAACAAAAAAATTCTTTATTCAAATAATTCTGACTGTAATTATGTCAGTAAGTTAATGGCCCAAAATTCCTAAATAGTGAAGTTATTTTTTTCCTTTGACCACTTCATTGTGGTCAAAGGAATTCAGTCTTCTGAAGAGCACTTATTAACTTGTACAATCAGACTAATTTTTAATTAGATTTTTACAAAAACATCTAGATGCAGGTGACGTTTTTCGTGCATTTTATTTCAAATCTACAAGGTCTGCAAACTGTCAGAGGACAAGTTTTGACATATAAAACATAGAGTAAAAGTAAAGTATTTTTATAAATACAAAAGACATTCTACATTTCACAAAACATAAAATGGATTTTATTTTAAGACTTGGCTGATTCGTGAAAAGTTATTGGAGGAGTTTTCCATATTATTTTAATCAAGTTTATGCCACTGCCTTTATTTATGGCTTCTATTATAAAATATTTCTAAAACAATAATAAAAAACAACTCCAGGCTGAAATTCATCTTATCAGATCTAAGCCAAAGAAAAATTTATTTTTCCGCACATGAAATACTGCTTTCACGAATTTAAAGAGTGCTGAATGGTTCCAATAAAGTATAATGATTTCAAAGCAGCTATCTCTCAGATTGTAAATAAAGAATATTTCATCCCCTTTTTTAGCTCATAAGGTTCAATTGAAATGCAAAACAACAAAACAGGATATTAAAAATCACTATTAATGTTCTTGCATACTAGCTAGAAGTATGCTTTTCTTTTCAATCAAAAACAGCCTAAGCTTATAACCAAATGTCAACTCTAAATCAAAATATCCTGACTTTTGATAGTTTATTATTAAACAAAAATAGATAAATAACATGGCAAGACGACATATTGAGACAAATACAAACGAAGAGACGAGCTATACTGACTGTAGATGACATTTTTCAATCCATTTGTGCTTACATAAAAGAGAGAGGTTTTCCTACCCCACAATTGAAACTTACTGGACTCCAGCTGTGCATGTGTGCTGTCAGGTATTCTGGGAATGTCCCTGAAATCGGGAAAAGTAAGACAGGTTGATTTTTTATCTAACAAACATATTTGAATTTCAGTTGCACTATAACACTTCTCAAGCCACCGTGGAATGTATCAGGAAAGGCATAGGATCTACTGGTTGTCTTCAGTCATGATGAAGATTTATCTCTTATCCAGTATAAATAATTTCAGCAGCAAATTAAAGCCTACAGAACAAGTGGTTTGGTGAATGCAAGAGAGAGGCTGCACAGCCACAAATGCAATAATTCAGTAAATAAATAAAAAAAAAAACAGTCTCAGAGTTAATGGTAGACTAAAACTGTGAGTAGTAGGCTTTATTATGACATTATATATTAATTAAATTTATTGGACTCTCACTCAAACATACTAAACTGTCAATAATGGCTATCCCAAGATGTCCTTTACTGTCCCTGAACCCCAAATTTGGCCAATCTTATCTCTTCCACAACTAAATAAGATGAGTAATTTCATTTGGCAAAATTGCATACTTGCATATACATGAGATATTGCATCACCTGTATTAAATTGTGTGTACAGCTATGTAACTTTAAAGCACTCAGTCGCAATGACTAAGTACCTCATTACGCCCACTCATCCCCCAAAGGAACATACTCTTCCTATGAGGGGCAAACATTACTGTATGCTAATAAAAACTATCAATATGCTAATAAATCACTTTGAAGGTATTTGAGCAAAACCAAGCAAGACGAGGAGCTTCAGCTCTGAGTCACAGCAAGAACAATATTTAGAATCACAACGTGTGTTTCAGTGCCATTGGTTTCTTCAAGGCTGCGCCGGGTGCCGGTGCCCAGGAGTGGGCAAGGGGCTGCAGGGCAGCTTGTGTTCCAGCTGGCTCCAGTGAACCCACCGCAAGGTACAGCTGAGCCTGTTAGCCAACCTGGTGGAGCCACTGTGATAACACACTTAAGAAAGGGTGAAGAAGCCTGCGCAGCAGCTGTGAGAGAAGGCGGGGGGAGAGGGGAAAGAGAAAAACATCCCTGCAGACACCAAGGTCAGAGAAGGGGGAGGAGGAATGACAGAAACCCCCATTTCCCATCCCCCCTGGGCTGCTTGGTGGGGGGACGGGTAGAAGAGCCAGGAACAAAGGAGTGAATTTGAGTCTGGGAAGAAGGGAGCTGAGGGGAAGGAGGGTTTAGTTTTGTTTTTATTTCTCACTGTCCTGTTCTGTTATTCGTGCCTAATAAATGAATCTTCCCCAAGACAAGTCTGTTTTGCCTATGATGGTAATTGCTGAGTGATCTCTCCATCCTTATCTTGAACCTTTGATGGGCTTTTCCATCTTATTTTCTCCCCCTGTCCTGCTGAGGAAGGGGAGGGACTGTGGCTGGGTTGGGGTTTGGCAGCCAGCCAAGATCTACCCACCACAAAGGTGTGTGAAGAGGAAGGGAAAGTTAAAAATGTTTTCAGTGATATCTACCGTCTCATGCAATTAAAAAAAAAAAAAAAATGTCTGTACTGTATAAAACCAAAACTTATCTAGTTCCTTTTTGGTATACCGTTTCCAAACAGCTTTCAAGACTCACTACAAAGATAGCTATACTAAGCAGACTGAGGAAACTTTCCAAGAGAATTGATGCACAGTATCCAACAATTCAAATTAATCAGAAGGCATGCAACTGGTCCACTGTAGAGAAGAAAAAAAACACTGTCTCTATATTTGTTAGTAATGAAAACTTGCCAGAAACGTACAAGGCCTATTCAAGACGTAAATATTTAAGTTTATAAATTCTACAGATATCAAATATACAAAGGAACCCAATAGTCACCTATTACTTTTCTCAGAAATTCACTCCTGAACCTAACCTGTAATTAAAAAAAAAATTCCTATCATGTGAGTTTGAGAAGAAAGCCTTGAAAATACATATCATTGTGAACAGATTGAATATGTTTTCTCTAGATACCTGAAACAATAAACTTGAAAGCTCTGAACACTATCATTTAGATAGTGTTCAGAGTGCACTGGGATCGAGTGCACCCTCAGCAAGTTTGCAGATGACACCAAGTTGTGTGGTGTTGTGGACACGCAGGAGGGAAGGGATGCCATCCAGAGGGACCTTGACAGGCTGGAGAGGTGGGCCTGTGAGAACCTCATGAAGTTCAACAAGGCCAAGTGCAAGGTCCTGCATGTGGGTCAGGGTAATCCCAAGCACAAGCACAGGCTGGGCGGTGAATGGATTGAGAGTAGCACACAGGAAAAGGACTTGGGACTGCTGGTGGATGAGAAGCTCAACATGAGCTGGCAATGTGCGCGCGCAGCCCAGAAAGCCAACCGTATCCTGGGCGGCATCAAAAGAAGTGTGGCCAGCATGTTGAGGGAGGTGATTCTGCCCCTCTACTCTGCTCTCATGAGACCCCACCTGGAATACTGCGTTCAGCTCTGGAGGCCCCAACACAAGAAGGACATGGAGCTACTGGAGTGGGTCCAGAGGAGGGCCACGAAGATGATCGGAGGGCTGGAGCACCTCTCCTATGAAGACAGGCTGAGAGAGTTGGGGCTGTCCAGCCTGGAGAAGAGAAGGCTCCAGGGTGGTCTTATTGCAGCTTTCCAGTACTTAAAGGGGGCCTACAGCAAAGCTGGAGAGGGACTTTTTACAAGGCTGTGTAGTGATAGGACAAGGGGTAATGGATTTAAACTGAAAGAGGGCAGATTTAGATTAGATATAAGGACTTTTCACTCCGAGGGTGGTGAGGCACTGGAACAGGTTGCCCAGGGAAGTTGTAGATGCCCCATTCCTGCAAGTGTTCGAGGCCAGGTTGGATGAGGCTTTGGGCAACCTGGTGTAGTGGAGGGTTTCCCTGCCCATGGCAGGGGCGTTGGAACTAAATGATCTTTGAGGTCCCTTCCAAACCTAACCATTCTATGATTCTATGATTTATGTTCCTAAAGCACACAGACCCCAGTATTTCACAGTAGTGTGAACAGTATTTCTTACAAGGAAATCTCACTAAGATAAACAGATGTCGAAGAAGCAGAAGTACTTTTAGGCATCTCTTTACGTTTTAACATATGTTCCATTGCAAGCAGGTTGTATAGAATGATTAATAAAGCACAATGCATCATTCCTTCCAAATTCAAAACAGTAGCAACTATGAAAACAACATGCATTTTCAAGTAACTTTTTGAAATAGATAAATTGTTGCATATAAAAGACAGCCAGCTCACATACAATAGCAACTTGACCATCGGTTTTTATTTTAAGATAGAAAAAGGGATAAATTGCATGCCGAAAGTATATGTTTGGGAATTTTTTAAAGGAGTTTTCCATTTTATCTTCCTTTATCAGCTTAGCTTGCCATCTTCAGTTTTCATAGCAGTCAGTCCATAATGAAATGAAGAAGAACTAACAATCATGTTTACTGGAATTTGCTTTTGTATTCATTATATCAGGATACGACAATAGGTTCCCTTTCTCAGCTAAGTCAATAGCTGGTAACTGTCTAAAGATTTCTGGCATGAGTTAGTGTATTGCCATGAGACCATCAAGAGACTCCCTTTATAGGTAATAGGATATATCTCAATGAAAAGGTGAAATATTTCAAGTGGGCATCAATTATTCTAATCAAAATAATTATCACATCAGATATCTGGTAAATCTGAACTTTTAATGTTTTTAAATACATTGAAACTTTATTCCCTGGGGCATAACACAGACCTATGGTGTTATGTTTCCTTGGGCAAGCATAAGGTATTAATTTCTATAGTCTACTTGATTATGACCAGAAATCTCCTCAACTGAGAAGATAATATGGTATTTCCAGCTCCCCAGCTCAAATCTCATGAAAAACATTTCTGAAGCTATATTGTTAATATCAAAATCCAAAGAGTTACATAACCAGAATTTAAAATCTTACCAGCTTGCAGAAAGTATTCATCATTGAGACTTCAGTTATAAACCCATTTATGTTAGTAACCGGAGTTTTGGAGGTGAAAACCCTCTTTTACATCTACTGCAAAAAGACACTGGGAATCAAGTACATAGAATGACTTTTTTAGACCTCATCTGGCTCAGTTCTTTAGACTATGTGACAAGCAGTTAATGCTGAAGAAGGCATCTTGAGAGCCCACATGACTGTCTTTAAAGAATTGTAGATGAGGTGCTCTAGTGACAGCAAGTGGAGCTCATGGTAACATAACAGAAGACATGATGATAACGAAGCTAACAGGAGAGGTACCAGCTGACTGGAGGTTGGCAAACGTGACACCGATCTACAAGAAAGGTAAGAGGGAAGATCCAGGGAACTACAGGCCTGTCAGTCTGACCTCAGTGCCAGGTAAACTCATGGAACAGATCATCCTTAGTGTTATCATGCGTCATGTACAAGACAGACAGTTGATGAGGCCCAGTCAACATGGATTTATGAAGGGCAGGTCTTGTTTGACCAACCTGATCTCCTTCTATGATAAAATGACCTGTTTAGTGGATGAGGGAAGAACTGTGGATGTTGTTTACCTCGATTTTAGCAAGGCCTTTGACACTGTTTCCCAGTGAGAAATGGAGATGGGGGTCGGTCTCTTCTCCCACGTTATGAATGACAGGATGAGAGGGAATGGCCTTAAGTTGTGCCAGGGGAAATTTAGGTTAGATATCAGGAAAAATTTCTTTACAGAGGGGGTTGTGAAGTATTGGAACAGGCTGCCTAGGGAGGTGGTGGAGTCCCCATCCCTGGAGATGTTTAAAAACCATGTAGATTTGGTGTTGAGCAACATGGTTTAGGGACCCTGACAGTGCAGGGTGAATGGTTGGACTCGAAGATCCTGAAGGTCTCTTCCAACCAGATGATTCTATGATTCTATGAAGGTAAACAACAGAGTAAATATAAAAGTACAGGAAAGAATACAGGAAGTTTCACACAATTAATAGAATGCAAGAAGAGAAAAAAAAAAAGAATATTTTCAAGACGTGAGGAGCTCCTTGTAACTTTTGCTATAAACTTCTATTTGAGAAACTATGAAAGATCTTATGCCTGTTATGAAATCCTTTTCTGAGACAATATTCTTCTAGCGATGTAGTCTGTCCCTTAGCATTATTATTATACCTACAACTCCCAAGCTATGCAAAGGTTTTTAAGGATAAGACAGATGATACAGCCTTTACCCTAAAGGGGCTGCAATTCAGTACGTATGTAGGAGATAATCTCTCTTCTCACTGACAAGATAAAGCAGTTTTTGTTGTTATCAAGTTAATTTAAAATTGTCAACCCAAATTAAGTTCCTACACATTAAGTTCCTGATGTGTCAAACACATTAAGTTCCTATTATAGCTGAACCCATAACAAATTGCCCTCACTGAAATTCCATCCTTAGATCATATGGTTCTAGATTTTTTTCAGTACTTCTTAATTTTTAGTTGTTGTGTTACCCATGCTTTCTCATAGGAAGACAAGATAATTGTGTGCGTCTTATACAAAATAAAGGGATACATATATTTATTAATTAAAATTATAGAATCATGGAACAGCCCGGGTTGGAGCAGATCTTGAAAGACCATCTGGTCCAATCTCCCGTGGAAAAGGGAGCCTGAATGAGATTACTTAACACCCTGTCCAGTTGTGTCATAGACATCATAAAAAATTCGGTAGGGGAAAAGAGAAAATTCTTAACAACTGTAAGCATCTTCAAATTCAGTGATGAGCATCCCCCTCTTCATAACCCTGGTGTGATCAGCTATGGAACTTCCAATGGAGAAGTTAAAAAGGGATGGGTGCAAATCTAGGCTGTAGGAACTTGGAAGAAAAAGAACAGATGAAGAAGGGGAAGTATTCACAGCCTAATACAACAAAACAACTAGAAATGTCCTATTGCTATGCAATAAAAATTGAACTTTAGCCATCAAGAGACAGGTCTGAAAGTTAAGAAAACTGGGCAATGTAAAGCACCAAAGAAAAAGTGTCACACAGTTTAGACAAGCACAAGTGCTAGCTATTCATTCAGATATGTTCTGTATTAGATAACAAGCAATAATATAACAGATTTCATAGATGAAGATGATGAGAATGTGTATTCAAGACTTTCCAAAGCATATTGATTATGTCATTAGCATACTGTATTTTGGGCAAAATTCTACATTGCAGACTCAGTAAATAAAGTTCATCATTAGTTCATAGATCAAATACGAATATACAATTTTATATATATTATGTATAATGTGAAGGGAGAAATAAAAATCAATAGTCAAGTTATTAATCAAGAATTGCAACAATAAAAAGAGTATAAGCACAGTTTCAGAGCCAATATAGGCTGGATCACCGACTAAACAACCACAGACGGGAATTTATTTTTGACCATATTGGCAGAGAATGACTGGGACTCTCTCAGAAAATACTGGATTTCACACCAACTCTTTCTACTTACTGGCGTGATGTATCATTCTAGCTATGCTTTCGGTTTACAGAATTTTGGAAAAAGTTTTACTATTTAGAATGTTTATGAAACTCTGCCCTAGAAGTGAAATTTAGCAACATTTTTGTCGTATTTAATACAAAAATTTATGAAATTACTTACCCTATTGGTCTTGAAACGACAAGCTCCACTTGTGGCTCAGGTTTAGATTCTAAAATGATGTTATACACCTCTTCAAAGGTGGCTCCTTGTAGTAGCCTTCCATTCCATTCTAATACTTCATCACCTGTAATTTCAGTAATAACACTCTGCTTAAGAAGTCTGATGTGAACTGTACTTACAACAACAATTTAAGCCGTTGTGTCAGTTTACCGAACTGTGAAATCTGTGTTGTAGAAGAAGTTTAGAGTCCTTCATAAGGAAAAATCCTGAATATTGAAGGTTTTCTGCAGCTCAGCTTCAGATATGTAAAGTTCAGTGAAACAATAACATCATCAGTAGGACCCCTACTGAATTAAATATAGCTCTTATTCACTTTAGGAACTGTGGTTTAAAAGAAACCCCAACATGCTATTTAGAAAATGCAGACATTTAAAACAGCATATCTCATCAACTTACTATTTTGAAGATCCATTTACCTCTACAAGTTTAGTATTTAAGGTTCAGATAGTTCTTATGTTAACCGTTAATATTTCTTGCACATTCTCCAATCTAGCAATCCATGGTTTGCATGTTGGATAGAAGCAGTTTCTTAGTTGAGCTGGTTCTGTAATAGCTTGGTTTGCTCTAAATAAAATATACTCCACAAAACAACTGGGCAGGACACCACTGGAATATTATTTTGAGTATAAAAACGTGAATAAAAATGTTAAAATATGATTCTGAACAACATGAGAATATATATTTCACAAAAGCAGTAAAGTCAATAATCTAGTAACTGAATGTCAGGTTGAATTCTGCAGTAGCTCATAACACCTATTTAACATAATTTCACATCTAATTAAACTTGCTTACTTATTATTACCTTTAGAAAAGCAACTCATCAGTAAAGATCCATAGTAGATACATACCTGGTCTAAGATGCCCCACTGTATCAGCTAAGCTTCCTTTTTTAACTTTGGTGATAAATGCGCAGAGTCGACCTGATTCAGTCATCTTTCCTCCTACTACCTGTTTCAAAGAGGAAGCATTTTCGTAGAATGAAAATTACTTTAAATTACTTAAATGTTCTGGCAACAGAAAGAAAAATTTAATTGTTTCCTTGGTTTTTAGGTAGACCAGGTAAGACTGATACACTTGAAAAAAACACCACAGAATTTTGACTACGACAGGTTATTGTTTGTACCTATTCTGGCTATCTGTAATTTAAACACAACACAAATACAGAATGCTAAACCTTTCAAATTTTAGCAAATATATGTATAGTTTTTCACTGTATTATAAATTATCACCTCAAAAAATGTAGGTATTGGTCATTAGACTGCTTACTTCAATACTTTTAAAGTGAAACCAGATATATTAATGTAAGATGTCCATACTAAGCATCAAACATCTCTATCAATTAATTAAATCCACTTTGGCTGGGCAAGTCAGATGAAAATACTTGTCAAACTGAAGATTTCTCTACTTGAAACTTCAAGAGATTTGACCTTACAATTTATCTTAGAGTCAGCAGATTCAAATATCAGCATGGGTTACAACCGCATAATCTTCAAATTTTTAAGGTTTCTTACCATTCTTCACACTGGGATTTAAAATTTGTAATATTAAATCCAGTTTAGGTTACTTTCAATAATGCAAATATTTGAAAATTCAGGTCAGGAATAATTGCTGAAAATCACTCTTTTCAGATGTCTATTGAGATTTAAAAGTAGCTACTCTTGAATCTAAACTATTCACGAATCTCAGTGAAGAGTTCATCTTTATAATGGAAGATTTTAGCATTTTAACAATAGAACTTTAAACAAAATATACTTCATAGTGACACTTAATTTCTTCACTTGCATTTTCTGACATTAAGACAATAACACACATGCCAAGAGTGATGTTAAACTGGCTTCTCCATCGATTTCAAAATACAATCCTTTGTAAATTAAATAAAATTTCAAAAATTTCCATAGCATGTTAGTATATTTTAAAAGTAACTACACTGGATTAGTCTCTATTTATGGTGTATGACTGTAGCCTAATCTATGTACCCAAAGGGAAGTCAGTGTCATGCTAAATAGAGAATGGAGAATTAATCAACTTTCTTCATGATTTCTCACAAGGATGTTGATTCAAAACAAATACATACTTGCTTCTTTTACTATGTATAATTCATTCCCCATTTTATACTAGTATTGCTGGAACTGCAAATAATAATATCAAGAAATGAGCTAGAAATAGCTTCATAATCTATTTGAAAAGTACTGCATCATGAAAAAGATGCGAACATACTGAATACTTTTTTGTCTTGTGTATTTAAAACGCAGTAAATCCAACAAACAGAGGGGAAAAAAAAAAATCCAGAAACAGGCTCTTCAATTAGCAAACTCTGCTCTGGATTGAAATGTCATTAACTTTCAGATGTCCCTGAGATTTTCAATAGAGATAATTTATTTTTCACATTTCTCTTTTAGAAAATAGAAATTCTGCCATGGTGCAATGCTCCATAATGAAGTCAACAGGGCTTGGCTTGCCCAGCAAGAATGCAATTAGTACCTTGCAGAGTAGACATTCTCAGCAAACTTGTGAAAACATGTCTAGTCTTCCTGAAAAATACAATTTTTGAGTCTGTCAGGGACCCTGCAAAATTACTCTTGGTAACTGAAAATAAAACGTCTCTATATTGTAATTTTGAGAATGATAAGGCATTATAGATTTCAGTATGCATACAGTACATAATATGACAATGCTTTCATTATAAAAGCAGCTAGTTTAACTAAGAGAGTTGTTAGTTCCTAAATTATCCATTACCAACCTTCAGTCCAAGCATTGCTCCTGAGTCTCTAGGCACACTTCCATCTTTTAGTCGTTTATTTAATAATATCCGACCAATGAGACGATCTCCGTCTTTGGATGGTTGCCAAGTTACTGGGTGCTATCATATGGTGTTAATGGAAAATACAGTGAACATGATTTTAAAGAAAAATATTTCAGTAATACCTTTCATTTCCTGATATATTTTTTAAAAGCCATGAAAGTACTATGATTACACTAATATTTAATGCAGTAGAATGACAGAAAACTGAATATTTATTTGGATATATAGTCCATCACAATGTTTTTCTAATATTTATTAGCATTATCTATTTTACTAAATTGAATTTGTAAATATGTAGAATGATCTTTGTGTCTTGATTACTAGACAGATACAGACAACTATACATAGTTATCTACACACAGTGACAATCACACCTGAGAACTGACAAAAACAACTGTAGAGGTCTAGTATAAGAGTAATACTGAAAAAGAAGTTTAACTCAAAACAGAAATTTGATGTTAGGCATTTCTTCTTTTTTGTGTGAGTCCAAACATGTCAATTTTCCCTAAGATTGACAATCTTTTTCAGTGTTTTACTTTTTTTATGGTAGTAGTATATTAAAACTTATAGAATACATTAAAAGGTATAGTCGTCAATCTATTTAAATTTATTATTTCCTTCCTGGAATAACTACTTCACATAGGAAGCACAGTTAGGGAAGTTATTATTCCATTACTATACATGGGCACAGCTATACTTACATAGAGGCATAATTAATAAAATGTTAAAATTTTATTTTGTGTAATCATAGCACTTTTTCACAGATCAATACTGTTTCATGCTCTATTTCATGCAAAATTAGCAGGTACAGACAAATCTGCTCCCATTACAACTAACAACTCTAAAAAGATTTATCATAATTTCCACCAAACAGAAAGCAAAAATAAAAAATACCAAAGCAGATGGCAAAGCCTTTAATTCTGCACAATACTGCACAAAAGTGGCATGGCAACAAAACAAAAGAACAACCATGACAGTGAAAGGGAAAAAAGAAAAACAACTTTTCTGCACAGAGAGAACCAATTTTATTCCTTTTTCACCTGGGGTTTAAACTATTAATTTAATTTCAGCCCCAGGAGTTTGAACATAGTAAATCAAATAGGCCAATCAGTAGAATCCTTATTGTTAATTACTTTATACTTGAAGGTAATGCCATGATATGCTATTATGCAACCGTAAGAATAACATTCCTTTATGCCTCTCAATTTTTTTCTTAGGCTGCCAAACAGTAAAAGCTGCAAGCATGCAGAGACTTTTCATTTGTTTTTCTTTTCTGCACCTTAAGAAATGCTACATTGTCTCTAGAAACACCCTATCTTTTATTTTATGCACTATTTTAATGAGTGACAGAGAGCAAACAAAGACCAAATGAGCAGGTTAGAATGCAGGCTCCATAATCTCAGTACCTTCTCGCTATGGCTATGTTCCTCGTTTAGAGTTGTGCTACTACACGTATCTACCCCAGAGTCTTTTATCTGAGGCTCAGACCATTCCAAGTCCTCTTCCAAAGAGTGGCCACCAAAGCACACCATTTTCTTTTGCCTCTCGGATAAGGCGTTAGAATCCGACAAAACTGCCTGCTCTCTAGTTTTTCTTTTTCCCCTTTGACTGTCCCCTACAGGTGTGGGATAAAAAAAAAAAAAAAAGATACAAAAAAGAAAACATGCAAAGGTGTAAATAAAACAAAGGAAATGTGAAATGATAAGGGAAACTAAATGGTAAGGCTCCACATGTCTCACCAAAGACATTGGGGATGCCTCACTGCTATGCCAAGACGTATGGTCCAACCAGTTGTAATCCATGTCTCCTGTGAGAATCAGACAGACAAGATAGTGCAGTAAAGGAAAGGTGAAAGAAAGGACAGACAAGATACAGTAAAATTGTAAAGTCTTCCGATTATCCTATCTGATTCATAGCCTCTGCTAGCAGGACTTTCAAAGTGCTTCCAAGAAAAATTTAAGGCTCCAACATCAGAGTATATGGAATATGAAATACAGTGAGGAAGGAAGTACGTTTGTGTGTGCCTGTGCGTACATAAAATTACGGACGGTTAAAGCATCATTGCTTCGGAGTGTTTAACCATTCCTATAAAATGACTTACAGCAAATTAAATGAAAAGGCAAATTGTATTGTATTCCTAAGAGAATTTTCAGAAAGGAAAGCATTTGAATATGGAATTAGTTTTCTTCATAATCTAAAGAAACAGTTTTGTCTTAAGGAATGTATTTCTTCGCTTTTCTAACACAAAGTAGTATTTATTCTCATCACTTCAATAAAACAATGGTACTCTATATTCAGCTGTACAGTAGATGATGTTTTAAGGAAGGTTAAATGATCTGTTAAAGATAGTAGATTTATAAGAAAAATAAATACAGAACATATTTTTAGAATAAAAAGCATATTAACTCTGCTTGAAATTCCCAGATAAATATCTGCTGATTAAATATCATGAAGAATTCTGGTCAGTACAGGTACCTCATAACTGGGAATAAATGTGTAGGGTTTTCACTATATACATATATATATTTATATTATATAATCAGAATTTAAGCTGTATGGCAGGCATGGTAGGAAGAAAGGTTTAAAAAATAATTTTTAAAAAAAGGTCCAAATTTATGCTGCTGTCCATAGAACTAGAGAACGATTATGTATTTTAATAAAACATTCTGGTTTATGTAGGTACCTTAAACTGTACATTGTGTCCACATATTTTGTGTTATTACATTTCTTTCTCTCTTTTTTTCCCCCCACCATTGTTACTACATGTTATGTGAAAAATATTTTGTTACTATATGCTGCATAATATTTTGATGCTACTGTATGCAGGAAAAAATGTTGACTTTTCTATTGAATTCCATGACCAAAATAACACTAAACGAAAGTAGTTCTGCTCTTTTTAATACAGAGCACAAACAACATTTTTCTGTTTCCATTGCTGCAGATCCTGCTTTGACATTGCTAAACCTATTCCTCTGAAACTACATCAATATGCTGGTGAAATATAACTAATAGGTCTAATCACAGTCAACACTTGTCTAGAAAACTTTACAGAGATTATTTGACGATAGTCCCATAAAACTAAGCTACAAAAAGCTAATACATGCTTTAGAAAAGTAAAATACAGTCTTCTCAGAGGGATATTATGTAGAATGAGAAATACGATTTTTTTTTCACTTGTTTTCTTGCATACTTCTTAGACTTACGTATAGAAAAAAAATCAAGGCTCATTTTCATTTTAAAGAAGGAAATGTCTGGAATACAAAGGTTTTATTTTCAAAAAGATACTTTGAACTTTTTTGCAGAAACGTGGTAGACTATCTAATATCCTTTGGTTTCATAAAAACAGTGGTAAGGGACTTCACGAAATTGTTTTGAAGCTTTAATTCATTTATATTTTCTAAGTAATAAATGGGCCTGCTGTAAATATATTAACTGTGTTTCTCGGTTCTTGAAATGAAGATAACATTTTAAAATGGGAAACTCTCACGAAAACTGCTTTCTCATGGCAGTTAACATCTTGACTGTATTACAGATAAAAGTGTGGCTATCTGCTAAAGGAAAAATAAATATTCTTCTGAAAGCTAATAACATTTTGCCAGAGGTACTTCTGGCATGGAATTTCCAGTGCTGTCTTACCTCTCCCTCCGAAGACATTGTTTCAGAGGAACTGAGTGGAACCATCAGTGAGCTCAGGAAAATCTAGCCTTTACTGCATAAATACACACTCAGAGACATCCAGAAGATTGCAAGAGTTCCAGTCTACATACTGTCTGTTTTACAAATCTTAGTTTAAATATATATTTAAAAATGGATCTTAGCCAACCGTATCCTGGGCCACATCCAAAGAAGTGTGGCCAGCAGGTCGAGGGAGGTGATTCTGACCCTCTACTCTGCTCTCGTGAGACCCCACCTGGAATACTGCGTTCAGCTCTGGAGGCCCCAACACAAGAAGGACATGGAGCTACTGGAGCGGGTCCAGAGGAGCGCCACAAAGATGATCCGAGGGTTGGAGCACCTCTCCTATGAAGACAGGCTGAGACAGTTGGGGCTGTTCAGCCTGGAGAAGAGAAGGCTCCAGGGTGGTCTTATTGCAGCTTTCCAGTACTTAAAGGGGGCCTACAGCAAAGCTGGAGAGGGACTTTTTACAAGGCTGTGTAGTGATAGGACAAGGGGTAATGGATTTAGCTGAAAGAGGGCAGATTTAGATTAGATATGAGCAAGAAACTTTTCACTCCGAGGGTGGTGAGGCAGTGGAACAGGTTGCCCAGGGAAGTTGTAGGTGCCTCATCGCTGGAAGTGTTCAAGGCCAGGTTGGATGAGGCTTTGGGCAACCTGGTGTAGTGGAGGGTTTCCCTGCCCATGGCAGGGGGATCAGAACTAGATGATCTTTGAGGTCCCTTCCAACCCTAACCATTCTATGATTCTGTGAAACTCTGTTACAGTAATGATAACTTCTCAGCTTGAATTGCATGAACTAAAGGCACATGAGCACATACTGTTTTTTCCCAGTAGTTATTTTCTGTGTCATCAATACAACTGCTGTACCCAAAACCAGAGTCTGACTAAAAAAGTTTTAATTTGTTTCCCTGTAATTTGGAACCTAATTTTAGGAGGAACAAACTGAAACAAAATGGTCTTCATAAGCAGAACAAGTAAAACTGATCATTCTTACCGCTTCAAATTCCTGACTATTTCTGAGAAATGGTGTATTTTCATTGAAATGACTAAATTTAAATGTAGTTATCTACCATTAGGCATTAAGAATCCACCACTGCAAATTACTGGCCATTTTTTTAACGTTTTAAAATTCTCAGCAATGATCTCAACTACCACTTATAATCCAGTGAAGAGAAACAATTTTTTAAGATATGGTTCATTTGACCTGTTTTAGATGCATACTTCCAGGTGAGATAAATCACACCTCCATCAGACCCAAAATATCTTATTTCTCCACCACTGCTTATAAAGGAGGTCTCAGTGAGTCATTCAGATGGTCATTTTTTGATCAGGAGGATCCTACTACCCTAAATTACTATTTTGTCACAACCTCAACTATTTGTTACATATCCAAGAAAATACCAAAATTATCACAGTAAGGACTCAGGACTCTTCAAGCTCTCCAGGAAGGCACGTCTACTGCGCTGATTTTATACAATTAGGAATACCAAATATTTCTTTTAACATGTCATTTGAACAAGGTATCATATACTCTCTTCTTCACTCTTCACCTTAGCAGTGGTAATGGAGACTGAAAAGATTGCTGGACCAGTTGTTGTGTTCAAGTCTATAAACATAGGTCCTAGGCTCATCTGCTGGTGTAACTGATTTCTGCTTACTAAAAAGGTTTCCAAGAGCTCTCTCACCATGTGTTACTGTATGCTGCATCCACATACTATATGTGTCCAAGATAGACATATTTAGCCTAGCATACCCAAGGGGTTAGCACATAGAAATTACCTACATTTTAAAAGATCATTATTTCGCGGCAACAGTTATTCTTTATCAAATGATAAGCCCTGAACCTGCACAGAAGAATACATGCAAAGTTGAGCCTGTTGCCTGATCAAAGCACTCTCACTTCTACTATTTTCCCCTCTCCTCCTCAGTCAAGATGTAGAAAGCTGATTTTCATTTTAATTTAGTTGTGTCTCACAGTAAATATCATTTTAATTTTAGAATAATTGTTAAGAAAATAAGCAACAACTACATCCAAAGACTGTTTTGTTCATATCTGTAGTCTTTTTTCCATTAAAATAGGTAGCTATATATTTTTAAAAAATTGTTATACAAATTAGAAATTATAAAACCCTTGTAGATCATCTAGATTTTTCCCTTAACACTGCGTTAAGTCATCTAAATGACAGGGCTAAATACTATAAAAATTAATAAAATGTACTCAAATTATTATTAATAAAATATATAAACTTATAAAAATATACTCAAGATGACTGTTTGGAAGCCCTGTAGCATATTACATTTTGAGGAGAAACATGTACTGCTTATTACACCCACACTTTTTTGAGATGCAATGAATGACTTGATAAAATCACTGGACGTAAATTGTTCAGTTCTACAAATATTAAAATATTGATAAATGATAAATGATTTGTGAAATTTTGTAAAATTAAAAGTAATACATGTAAGACACATAGTTCTTCGTTATCCTACAAAAAAAATGATAAACCATAATCTTTCCATAACAAAGGCACTTGCTGGTCTCTTAGATATTTCTCTTCCACAATAGCAGATGCTTTATTATTGAGAATATGTGCATTTAGGGTGTGCAGCAGAAATGACTCAGGAAAAAATGTGATTTCATTGATATATTATAGAAGCTACAGTATCAAAACCATCTTTCATGGAAAAAGGAACTAATATATTACTAAGCAAGATATAATCATAGCTAATGTCATTATAACAGCATTCAGATGCCTCATGAGCTCAGGAGTACAGCTGGATACAAGAAAGGACATATGTGAGGTCTGCTCTTATTAATGTCAGCGAGCTCTACGTGTATATGGAAAGCTCGCATGGACAAATCAGGTTGGGAGAAAAGTCACATCAGTGACCTAGCCTTTCTGTATAAATGATGTTAAGCCGAAACCTTTGTAAGCT